ATATGTCTGGCAGCAGATTTTTCAGTGGAAACTTAACAGGCCAGAAAAGAATGGAATTAAATATTTAAAGTGCTGAAGGAAAAATCTTTTACTCTAGATTAATATATGTGATGAAAATATTTTTGAAACATCAAGGACAAATGAAAATTTACTTAGACCAACAAAACCTGTGAGATTTCATCAAAATATGACCTGTCCTAAAAGAAATGCTAAAGGAAGTACTTCAATCAGAAAGAAAAGAATGTTAATGAGCAAGAAGAAATCATCTAAAGGAACAAAACTCACTGGTAATAATATGTACACAGAAATTCACAAAATGTTACAACACTGTATCGTGTAAACTACTCCTTGGTACAAAGATTAAATAAAGAGCCAATCAAAAATAATAATTAAAATTTCTCAAAACATACCCTGTACAGTAAGATATAGATAGAAACAACAAGAAGTTAAAAAGCAGGGGACAGGACATGTGCTGTGGCTCACGCCTGTAATGCCAGCACTTTGAGAAGCCGAGGAGGGTTGATTATCTGAGGTTGGGAGTTTGAGACCAGCCTAACCAACATGGAGAAACCCCGTGTCTACTAAAAATACAAAATTAGCTGAGCGTTCTGGTGCATGCCTTTAATCCCAGCTACTCAGAAGGGTGAGGCACGAGAATCACTTGAACCTGAGAGGTGGAGGTTGCGGTGAGCCAAGATCACACTGTTGCACTCCAGCCTAGGCAACAATAGCAAAACTCCATCTCAAAAAAAAAAGCAGGGGACAAAGTTAAAGCATGATGTTTATATTAGTTTTCTTTTTGCTTGTTTGTTTACTTATGCAAACAGAGTAAAATTGTTATAAGTCTGAAATACTGGGTTATAAAATTGTATTTGTAAACCTAATGGTAACTTCAAACCAAAAAGCACACAACAAACTGAATTATATCACCAGCAAAATTCTCTTTCATTTAAAGGAAGACAGGAAGGAAATGAAAAAGAGAATACCACAAAACAAGCAAAAAACAATAATAAAATGGAAGGAGTAAGTCTTTATTAATCAATAATAACATTTGATATAAATGAACTAAACTCTCCAATCAAGAAACATAGAGTGGATGAATAGATAGAAAAATAAAGCCCAATGATCCTTTGCCTACAAGAAACACACTTATCTTACAAAGAGACACTTAGATTGAAAATAAAGGAACAGAAAAAAGTATTTCATACCAATGGAAGCCAAGAAACAGCAAAAGTAGCTATATTTATATCAGACAAAATATATTTTGAGACAAAACCTGTAAGAAAATGTAAAGAAGATGAAGGGGTCAATTTAACAAAAAGATATAACAATTTTAAATTTACATAGAGCCAACACTGGAACACCCAGACATGTAAAGCAAGAATTATTAGCACTAAGGAGAGAGATAGGCCCCAATACAATAATAGCTGGAGCCTGTAATACTTTCAGCATTAGACAAAGCTTCCAGACAAAAAATCAACAAAGAAACATTGGCCTTAGTCTACATTACAGAACAAATTACTCTACTATATATTTCCAGGCCATTTCATCCAGTGGCTACAGAATACACATTCTTTTTCTCTCCACAGGGATCATTCTCAAGGAAAGAAGATATGGTAGTGACATGGTTTGGCTTTGTGTCCCCACCCAAATCTCACCTTGAGTTGTAATGCAATAATTTCCATGTGTCATGGCTGGCACTCAGTGGAAGGTAACTGAGTCATGGGGGTGGTTTTCCCCCATGCTGCTCTCATGATAGTGAGTACGTTCTCATGATATCTGATGGTTTTATAAGGGGCTTCCCCCCTTCTTTTGGCACTCATTCTCTCTTCTGCTAACCTGTGAAAGGTGACTTCCACCATGATTATAAGTTTCCTGAAGCCTCCCCAGCTATGTGGAAATGTGAGTCAATTAAACCTCTTTCCTTTAAAAATTACCCAGTCTTGGGTATGTCACTGTAGCAGTGTGAGAATGAACTAATACAGATAGATCAAAAAACAAGTCTTAAAATAATCAAAACTAGTGAAATAGTATTAAGCATCTTTTCTGACCACAATAGAATAAAACTAGAAATAAAAAAGATAAGTTTTGGAAAGTATCACACATCTATAACAAAATATCTGAGACTAGGTAATTTATAAAGAAAAGAGGTTTAATTGACTCATGGTTTTGCAGGCTGTATAGTAAGTATGTTGGCTTCTGCCTCTGCTCAGCTTCTGGAAAGGCCTCAGGAAACTTACAATCATGGTGGAAAGCAAAACAGTACAGAGACATCTCACGTGGCCAGAGCAGGAGGAAGAGAAAGAGAGATGGTGAAGATGCTGTACACATTCAGAAAACCAGATCTTAGGAGAACTCTATCACTAAAACTGCACTAGGTGGATGGTGCTAAGCCATTGGGAACCTCCCCTATGACCCAATCACCTTTCACCAAGCCCCACCTCCAACACTGGGTATTGCATTTCAACATGAGATTTGGGTGGGAACACAGATCTATGCCATATCAGAACTCCTTTTGCTGTATCCCATAGGTTTTGTTACGTTTCCATATATGTATTTATTTATATGTATTTATTAAACAATATACTACTGATTGACCAGTAGTCAATTTTTCTATGAAGAAATTCAGAAAGAAATTGAAAAATGTCTTGAAACAAATGACAAAGGAAGAGTGATATACCCATCAAAACCTTTTTTGGTAAACAAATTTAAAAAACAATTATAAAAGGTAATAAGATAATTGAAAGCCATTATTTTCAGCAATTTTAATCAGTTTTTGACCTACCCTATTTGATGTGGTATGCCTTTTGGGTTTTTGCTTTTTGTAACATGACAAGACAGGGTGATATTCTCACTGTTAATTGCAGGCAGGAGTCCAAAAAAAATTAAATCCTTAGAAGTTAGCTTGTGAGCACTTAATAAATAAAATAGTTAATCTCTACACAACATCTGGGGTTCACTAAGAAAAATGTATACCTTAATAACAATGTTCTTTTGGTTTCTTAGATTTCAGATGGCACTCCTGGGAATGCTATAAATTGTTTGTATTTGGAGGTCTGCAGGGTATTTTGCTAGGACTTCTTGATTTGATGGTGTATCAAATAAAGATACGTGAGCTTGATGAGCAGTGGAACAAAAATCTAGGTTCTACTCCTCTCTTTTTCCATTATTGTGTTTTGTGACTTCGTATAGAGAATGGGACAAGTGTCAACTTGTGAAAGAAACCTAGGGCCATGCCTTCTCTATCTTTGGCCCTTTCTCTTTATTTCTTTTAAAGTATTTTTACCTTTTTATTTTGAAACAATTATAAGTTCACAGGAAGTTTCATAGATATGTACCTGGAGGCCTATGCATCCTTCAACCAGTCACTCCCAATAGTAAAATCTTCAGTACACTACCACATCACACTTTCAAAACTAGAACATTGACATTGATACAATCCAGAGCTTTTTAAGATTCAACACTTTTCTTTTGGCTATTCTAGGCCCTTTACATTTCCATATGAATATTATAATTATCCTGTCAAATTCTATGAAGAAACCTTTTTAGAATTTTTATTAGGATTTAGTTTAATAGACAAATTAATTTGGAAATAACTGACATCTTACAATATTGAATCTTCTATCACTAAAACTGAGAATGAAAGTATACATCTCGATTTTTCCTTATGTCATTAATTTATCTTTGCAATTTTTTGTAGTTTTAAGTTTACAGGTCATTTACATCTTTGTTCAGATTTATCCCTAGGCCTTTAATATTTTTAGTAATATTTGAAATTGCACTGTTCTTAATTTCAAATTCCAGTTGTTGAAATTAACTACTAGTTCACCCTAGTAGTACCATTGGCTGGAACATTGGCTGTTATAATATATAAATTTCTAATATATAACTTCTACTATGTAAACATACAATTGATTTGAATGTTGATCTCCAATCTGCAATCTTGCTAACCACGATTGTAGAAGCTTTTTTTGACTGACTTTTCTACACAGACTCTCATGTAGTCTTTGACAAAAGATACTTTTACTTTTAGCTGGAGAACCTCTTCCAGCTAAATGTCTCTTTTTTTTTGCACTGGACACAATCTCCATTACAAAATTTAACAATGCCCACACTGGTGTACGTGTTGGTGTTAGATAGTATTCTGCATGGAAAAATTCAGAGCGACTTCCAGCACATGTATACCCACACCTCCCCCCACCCTACATACCGGTAAAATCCATGTTGGGATACTACATTTGTGATGAACATACACCCCTGATTTGAAACAAGACTAGGATACCCAGTAAAAACGTTTATTCACTGAAGTTCTGGCAGACCGAAGGCCCTGATTTCATCCTAGAAATAGGAAACTTAAGAGAACTACATGGACATTGGAGAAAAGAATATGGACTGAAATTTGCCGGGAAGAAACCTGGAAGTTAATGGTCTTCGAGGTGCATATGAAGGAACTGTAGGAGGGGAAAATGGGATAATTCACATCTCCACCAATAAATAAATGGACCACATTCGTTTAGAGGGATTTGAGGTGAGACATCCAAAATACTAGTACATGATGAGGGCTGGAAGACAAGAAAATAAATTACTTAATAGGAATGACTATGGGGAAGGGCTTGAAGGAATTATCATCTCACTTCCATGTGAACTATGAGCCTTAAACATGGAGAAATGAGGAGCAGTGGCAGATCTGTTTGTGATGCCTCTTCAGGGGATGTTGAAACAAGAACAGCATTTGGTTTCTCTACATCCTTTTCATCTTTCCCGCCTCAAGCCCAGGGAGTTGGCAGGGGTGGTACTTTGTGAGGTCAAAGCCACCTTAGGACTACCACTGGGTGGAACATTGCTTGGATGATCAAACAAAGCTCAAGGGTATAGCTTCATCTTGCTCACCATAGGGAGGGCAAGAGCTCTGGGTCACGCCACTGGAAAGCTTCAATATAGCTGTGGAAATCTGCACCTTAGAAGATCTTAGTATAGAAATTCTACAACCAAACACAATCATGGAACAACCAACGTCAAGCACCAAAGGGAATACAATGAAGGGCCCCTGTGAATACAACAACAAAAAAGTTGACAAGGTCAGATTGTTAGGTTTTGAAGAAAAGGTGAAGGTGAAAGACACACAGATAGGGGGAGGCTCAAACAGGAAGAAGACACTGGGTTGGGGGTGGACAGACAAAAGTTGTAGGTTATCGTGACAAGCCATGAGAATGGGGGGTTGAATTCTGAGCAAACCTTTTGTTTTAACTTTTATGTTTTTCCAAGTTGAATAGCTGCCAGCAAGGCAGCTTGTTGTGGGGGAGGAGGTGAAGGCTGCTTGTTTTTGGAGAGAGATAAATGACCTTAATAATTAATAGCCATTGCAGTTCTAACAGGGCAGAAGGCTAAAGGTTGCAGTTGAGGGAATTGTTTGTGCATTTTTTTCCAGGGAGCGTTGGATACATGGAGAGCAGGGCTGGCAGAGAGGGGAGGGCTTGGTAAGAGGTGTTTTATGGAATCTGACTTGTAACCTTAGTTAAGAGGCTATGAGGCGAAGGGGAGTGACAGCCCTGTATGTGATGGCGTGGGTGGATTTGATGGATTGAGGGGAAGGTGTTTCGCCCAGCAAGATTATAAACGGTTTTGGGGATGAATTGGCTGAGTAGGTGAGATGCAGGTTTATTTTGGACTGGATTTATGTGGCCAGGTTGACAGGAAGGGCTGTGAGCTGCTAGATTTGTGTGGACAAACAAATTTAACTGTTGAAAGTAAGAGGGAAGTGTGAATGATTTCAGAGGCAATGTGTGAGGCTGAGGAAGGGAGCTCAATTAATAAAGGTTGGGGCTGGGAACTTAAGAGTTTCCCACAGAAAAAGAAGACAAAAGGAGAAGAAGGAGATTCGACTAGGAGTGAAATTTTGGAAGTCATACCTCCTGGATTAGTGTGAGAAATTGGTGTGGACTATCCAGGGACATGGAGAAGGAAAACCAGGGAAGATCTGAAACAAAGTCTGAGACAAAAGGTTTGAAATTGGAGGCAGAAAGTATTATGGACTAGGGCCTTCCAGATTGGCAACTTCTGGAATTCTTGTTAAGTGCAGTGAGGTTGGTACTGTGAGGGAGGGAGAATAATTTGGGGGTAAGTTTCTAGATGTAGATCTGGTGCTCTTTTTAGTTTGGAATGCTGTTATTTAGTGTGGAAAGGATGTTAGCTTTGCCACTATAGGAGTAGTTAGCATAACCACATAGGTTTGAGAAAGAGGAGTCTGTGATTCAGACCCAGTACCGTGGTTGCAAGGACAGAGAGGAGTGTTTTGAGCATGGACTTTTGGGCTGGGGAGAAAAGGTCTTAGGCTGAGGGGCTTTTGGGAAATGGCTCATAAATGCATGAGGACAAATGAAAGAAGTAAAGCCTGGGCCATTTTAACCTTTAGGGAGAGTTTAGTTTTTTTTCTTTTTTAAAATTTTTCCTGAAGATTGGGGATGGTAAGGAATATGGAAGACACATTTAATGTTTAGAGCCTTTGCCAGCTGTTGTTTAACCTGTAAAACCAACAATGGCCTCTTGTCTGGATGCAAGAGGGGAGTTGAAACCAGTGGATAATATGGGTGAGGAGAATAGAAGCAATGGTGTGTGCCTTTTTGGTGGTGGTAGGCTGCCAAATGTGTTGAGAAGTTTTCCTTTGTTATGGCATCTGTGGCCTTTTGGTGTCTCTTACAATGTTAATGACAGCCTTCAGTGGTAGTGTAGCCACCTCCAGCAACTTGTGTGCAAGTTTGCTATTTCTTATGGGCGTTCCTTTTGTAGTTAGAAAACCCCCTTGCCAGATTAAGGTGCAAGAGTGTAGCATGTGCTATGCGTATTTGGAATGGGCATAAATGTTAACCCTCTTTCCCTTTGCTAGGGTGGGAGCCCTGGTTAGGGCTTCTAGCTTTGCCTGTTGAAAGGTAGTACGGGGTGGGAGAGCAATGGATTCTAGGAGTCTATTTTCGGCAATGATGGAATAGCCAGCTGCTGGACATGGCTCCCTTAAAGAGCTTTCATTAATTAAACTTGTATGTGTTCCCAGCAAAGGGGTTTTTCAAATGTGTTGGAAGGGGGAGGAGAGGGAGTTTAAGAGGTCCAGGCAGGAATGAGAGAGCTTAGAGTTGGAGATATTGACAGGGAGGAGGGTGGCCTGGTTGAGAGTTTTATATCTCTGGAAGGTGATTAGAGGGCTACGTATGAATAAGGCATGTACCTGCTATAAGTGGGATTGTGAGAGGGATAGAAGGGACAGATGGTTTATGAGGTCCTGTAGTTCATGGGAACATGCAATAGTAATGTGTTGGTAGAGAGTGAGTTTCTGTGCCTCTGAGGCCAGCAGTGTGGCCACCCCCAAGATTTTTAGTCAGAGTGACCAGCCTTGGATGACAGAGTCCAGTTGTCTTGACAGGTATGCAACAGCTTGTGGGGCATTGCTGTATCTTTGGGAGAGTAGTCCAAGAGCAAGGCCTTGGTCAGAATGTACATACAAAGTAAAGGGCTTGGTGAGGTTGGGCAGTCCCACTGCCAGGCCCATTAAAAGGGCATTTTTTAGATATTTTTAAAATTGGGAGCTGATGAGGCAAACTGAGTTCAAGTGTTTTATCATTGCCCCATGTAAGAGACCCGGTAAAGTAGCTTGGCCAGCAAATGAAAATTGGGAATTCACAGCTGGAAGTATCCCATGAGGCTCAAGAGGAAGAGTAAGTCCTTTTTTATGTGGGGAAAGGACATGTCCCTAATTAGCTCATTTTGTTGGGTTGGGATGGCCTAAGAATTAGGGGTTAGGACAAACCCAAGGTAAGTAACCTGGGTTTGGGATACCTGAGCTTTTGTTGGGTGAGACCCAATATCCTCAATTATGGAGGAAGTTTAAAATCTGAGTGGTATATTGGATGGACAGGTTAAGAGAGAGGCTACAGAGAAGGAGGTCACTGACATATTGGAGGAGGGTGCTAGGAGGAAAGGGAAATTCAACTAGATCCTTGATGAGGGCCTGTCTGAATAGGTGGGGGCTATCCTAGAACCCCTGTGAGAGTACAGTCCATGTTAATTGGGTGAACATGTGAGTATTGGAATTTGACTAAGTGAAAGCAAAAGAACTTTGGAAAGCCAGATTTAATGGAATACTGAAAAAGGCATATTTTAGATCCAATACAGAGAAGTGTGTGGTAGATGGGGCAATGTGAGAGAGTAGAGTATATGGGTTGGGGATCACCAAATATATTGGTACAACCACCTGGGTAACAACTCGGTGATCCTGGACCAAGAGGTAAGACCCATCTGTCTTTTGGACAGCCAGGATAGGGATGTTGTAGGAAAAGTTGACAGACTTGAGAATTTGAGCTTGTAAAAGTTTACAGATAATAGGTTTGAGGGCCCTGAAGCCAGCTGGGTTAAGGGGATACTGAGACTGATGAAGGAAAACAGAGAAGTTTTGGAGGGTTATTTTAACTGGGATGTGATGCGTAGCGATTATGAGTTTAGGAATGTTCCAAACTTCAGAATTAACAGAAAGTAACAGGGTAGATAATGAAGATGAGAGGGAGAAGAGAGGGAAGCATTTAGGTGGCAGAGTAAAATAAAAGGGGTAGAATTGTAGGAGGCAAATTGTATGGAGTCCTTGAATTTACTGAATATGTCCCACCCCAACATAGGGGTAGGGAACTGAGGGATAACTGAGGAAGGAGTGGGTGAAGGGGGGTGTCAAATACATTGTATGTTAAATGAACAGTCTGTTTGTGCCTAGATAATATTTTACTGACTCTCACAATAGGGATAGAGGAACTGAGCAGAGGTCCAGAATATTCCGGTAAAAGTGAATAACTAGCCCCTGTATCTAATAGAAAAGACATGGGCTTACCAGAGACTGACCATGTTACCTTGGGTTCCAAGGTGGTGATGGTGGTGGGAGCAGTCGACTCCAGGCCCTGTCAGTCTTCAGTTAGAGGTAGTGAAGCAGGATTAAGAGTTCCACTGAGCACAGGCTGACTTCCAGTGTTCCTTGATACCACACAGATGGGGCAAGGTTTCCAGGGTGTCCTGGGATTATGACAGGCTTTTGCCCAGTGTCCCTGTTGGCTATGCTTATAACAAGCTCCTGGCAGTGACTGTTGCAACAGTGAGGACTTCTGTATGCATTGGGAACTCTGTTGAATGGCAGCTGCCAGCATTTGGCATTTAGCCTTGTCCTTTTTTAGATTTTCTGGTTTTCAGTTCTTCCTCTATATTGTTAAAGACCTCAAATGCCACTTAAATTAAGTGTCTTTGGGAGGTTTGAGGAACATCCTCCAGTTTTTAAAGTTTCTTTCGGATGTCAGAGGCTGACTGGGAGATAAAGTGTAAATGTAGATTTTGCCCTTATTAGTATTAGGGCTTTAAGTGATATATTTGCTTATGGCCTTTGAAAGGCAGGAGAGGAAAAGAGCACAGGCAGCTTTATTTATGCCAGCTAGAAGGCAGGATATAATATGGCCTTGTTTCTGTCTGTCTATGAAAGTTGTCTGATAACTCCAATTAAGGTAAATTCTGGGGACAGCTAGGGTCTCTCTTGGGTTATGAGCAGCATCTTGTTGGTGGAGGGTGTTTGTATGGGCCTAGACAGCCATCTAGATGCATTCCCTATCCTTCAATGAGAGGGTGGAAGAGAGAATTACATAAATATCTTGCCAGTAAGGTTGTAAGATTGAGTGGCATACAAAAATTCCTTGTGGAAAGAGATGTGTCCTTGGAAAAGGAATCAAGTCTCTTTTTAATATGGGAGAGGATGGCTAGAGAGATGGTAGCATGATCTCAGATTATGCAGTTGGCCCTCACAATCTCCTGCAAAGGAAGGACTTTGGAAGGCTTTGGGTGTGTGCCTGGTTTTCAGTAATAGGGGTTGCATGTGAGACCTGGTGTGTGGTAGAGAACGAAAAGGGGATGGAGGGCAACAGTAAGGGATAAAGAAGCCGGAGCCAATGGAAAAGGAGGAAATGGTGTTAGGATGGGGACAGAGGGAGGGGTTTTGTTTGCCAGGTGAAAATTAGAGGAAAGGCTTGTCCTAAGGATGAGGTGCCTTTGCGAGTTATTTGTTGAGAAGGATTTGGAAAGGTGAACAGGATTGGCAGAGAGAGAGAGAAAACCATGAACAGATTAAGCAAAGCACTTTGGATACTTTACCATTGCATTAAAGAAAGTTTTTTAGATTATGTTCAATTTGGAAGTTAAAAGTTTTGTTTTTTTTTTTGTAGGAGGGGAGTACATACACCAGAGGGGAATGAGTATCCCCAGAGGGTAATAAATACCCCAAAGGGAAGTGAGTACCTAGCGAGGAGTTAGTATCCTAGAAAATAGTGAGTATCCCAGAGGGGAATGAATACCCTGGAGAAAAGTGAGTACCTCATTCCTCCCAGGAGAATGGACATAGGAAAGCTGGGGTGGACCAAAGAGCTGTGGCAGCTCTTCATGTTCCCCTGAGGGCCAGAGTGGCTGGAATGGTGAGTGTTCTGAAGGCATCCCCTGAGAAGACAGGCTGCAGTCACCTGGTGACCAGGGAGACCTTTAACCTGGTGCTAAGATTTTCTGGAGCACCAGTAGAAATAGAGAAAAATCTGGAAAGGTGGAAAAGGCAGATTCACCTACTAATTGGAACCTGGTGTTGGATGTAAGGTCTAGCAATGGGGGTGATCCTTACTGGAGCCACCTGGAAAGGAGAAGGAAGCAAACAGAGGATGGAGAGTTTGACGAGGACCTAGAGGTCAGCCCAGGGCTGGAAAAGATGAGAGAATAAGGGGAACAGGGCTGGGAACAGGTAGTTCATTCCGGATATGGAAGCCAGCTCAGGTCTAGTTTTTGCTGCTTGATGCTTTCAAGATTGCAAGACTTAACTGATAAAATCCAATCCCCATCCCAAGTTTTGGCACCAAAATGTTAGATTTTGAAAGGAAGGCAACAGTTAAAGAGACACACAGAGAGGGGATGGCTAAAATAGCAACACAGGTTTATTGCTGACAGCTGCAGAAGTGGGGGACCAGCTTAAGGCCAAAGCCCACCGCCACTTACAGGTTGGGTTACTTATAGGTATGGTTGGGAGGGGCATGGACAGTATGGCTTGCTGTCTGGCAGGATATTGATAAGATGTTTTTATGATCAGGTTGTTTGGTCCTTTTTCCAGTGGCATGTAATTGTGATGTTTTTTTGGACCTTTGCACAGCAAGATATAGTAGTGATGTTTCTTAGTTGGGCCTTTGTCCACCTTGTAGTCAGGTGGTTAGGCAGGATGTTCAATATTTCACTTTGAACAAGTCCTCAAAATAGCAAGGAGCTTACAAAATAGTGCAGTTTGGACTGACACAGATGACCCTACTCATGCTCCTCTTCTTCCCCATAGATCCCTACCCTATGATTCCACCTTGATCTTCTCTGGCACAAACCCCTTCTTCAACCTGCGTTTCTTCTTAAAAAGCTCCCCTTGCTATCCAGTGTCTACCCTATTCACCCAGGATAATGCCTTTCTGGCCTCTCCCTGTTTCCTTACCAGAAGAACGAGGTTATGGACAGAGTTTCAGCCCCTAAACAGAGTTTGAAAGAAACACAAAAACCAAAATATCCAAAATTAGTGTTTTACTACAGGAAGAATAAGAAAAGATATTCAGAAAACAAAACAAAACAAAACAAAATTAAACAAAACTTAAAATAAATAAAAGGCAGCAAGGGAAAAAAAGGAAAGAAAAGAAATTGAAATCAACTGAAGAATAACCAGCCCCCAGAGAACTCCACTGATCCAATCAAAGAGAACGAAGACCTAGACATATCCATAGGAGGGTGGGGAGGATTAGTCACACCTGGAGAAACCAAATCAGTAAAATCATCACCACTGATGGTAATGATTACAATAAAATCAAGTTTGATGAGCTGATAACTGTGTATATTTCTGCCTGTTTTCTGATGGTGGGGAGGAAGGGAAGGGAAAAGATAGGCATTTGAGAAGAGAGGAATTTGAGATATCCTGTAGGGTTGGTGGACAGACCCACAGGTTAACCAGACATTGTAAATAAGGACCGGGGGAAGGACTCATTCCTGGAGACAAATTTTCTTCTTAAAATTTTATCTCACAGGAGAGGAGGAAGAGGATTTGGAGTTTCTTGGAGCATGTGCATATTAGAAAAGCACATAAAAAGATCTGTATTGTATGTAGGTGACAGTGACACTGTTTTCAAAATGAAGACATCAAAATCACCACCTCCAAGACACATACCTCATAGTTGTGCATTTTATAACTCACCCAATGCTGTGAGCCACTGAAGGCCCTCAAAAGGACCAAAAGCCTCACCCTACAGAAAGTAAGACAGCATACCACACACACTAAAGTAATGGTGTTTGGAGGATGTGGACCCAATTCTGGGGCACTTGTTAGGAAACTCCAGGTACAGCAGTCACCTACCAAGTATGGGACACTGGGAGTGGCCTGGGACTACAGCAGGCAACAAACAGAAGCATTGTCTATAGAGAATTTTAATACAAGAATACAAGTGAAAGTTGGTATTTTTATTACCACTTCCATACACCAGCATTTCTATAGAATGTCAGTGATAAAGGATACTTCCCCTGAAAAAAATCATTTTTATTAGAGGGAATACAATAAAGTGGTTTTGGCATCAAGTGTAGAGGGCTGAGTTATATTCTTTGAGTTAATTGCTCAAGATCCTCTCCTGTTTATTTACTCATTCACTCTGCTTTGTTTTCATGACCAAGTTTTATTTCTCTTGTCTACATTGGCAATCATTGTAATGCATTTGATGTGCATCCTTTACTCTGTATGAGTGTCAATACGTGTTTTTTATTGTTTATGAGCATTTGTTTTCTTTTTTTTTCTTTTTCATTTTTTTATTGCATTTTAGGTTTTGGGGTACATGTGATGAACATGCAAGATACTTGCATAGGTACACATGTGGCAGTGTGATTTGCTGCCTTCCTCCCCTTCACCTATATCTGGCATTTCTCCCCAGGCTATCTCTCCCCAACTCCCCACCTTCTGCTGTCCCTCCCCTATTCCCCCCAACAGACCCCAGTGTGTAGTGTTCCGCTCCCTGTGTTCATGTGTTCTCATTGTTCAACACCCGCCTATGAGGGAGAACATGCGGTATTTCATTTTCTGTTTTTGTGTCAGTTTGCTGAGAATGATGGTCTCCAGGTTCATCCATGTCCCTACAAAGGACACGAACTCATCATTTTTGATAGCTGTATAATATTCCATGGTGTATATGTGCCACATTTTCCCTGTCTGGTCTATCATCGATGGGCATTTGGGTTGGTTCCAGGTCTCTGCTATTGTAAACAGTGCAGCAATGAACATTCGTGTGCATATGTCCTTATAGTAGAACGATTTATAATCCTCTGGATATATACCCAGTAACGGGATTGCTGGATCAAATGGAATTTCTATTTCTAGATCCTTGAGGAATTGCCACACTGTCTTCCACAATGATTGAACTGATTTACACTCCCGCCAGCAGTTTAAAAATGTTCCTATTTCTCCACATCCTCTCCAGCATCTGTTGTCTCCAGATTTTTAATGATCGCCATTCTAACTGGCATGAGATGGTATCTCAATGTGGTTTTGATTTGCATCTCTCTTATGACCAGTGACGATGAGCATTTTTTCATGTTTGTTGGCCTCATGTATGTCTTCTTTTGTAAAGTGTCTGTTCATATCCTTTGCCCACTTTTGAATGGGCTTTTTTGTTTTATTCTTGTAAATCTGTTTTAGTTCTTTGTAAATTCTGGATATCAGCCCTTTGTCAGATGGGTAAACTGCAAAATTTTTTTTCCCATTCTGTTGGTTGCCGATTCACTCTAATGACTGTTTCTTTTGCCGTGCAGAAGCTGTGGAGTTTGATTAGGTTCCATTTGTCTATTTTGGCTTTTGTTGTCAGTGCTTTTGGTGTTTTAGTCATGAAGTCCTTGCCTACTCCTATGTTCTGAATGGTTTTGCCTAGATTTTCTTCTAGGGTTTTTATGGTGTTAGGTCTTATGTTTAAGTCTTTACTTCATCTGGAGTTAATTTTAGTGTAAGGTGTCAGGAAGGGGTCCAGTTTCTGCTTTCTGCACATAGCTAGCCAGTTTTCCCAACACCATTTATTAAACAGAGAATCCTTTCCCCATTGCTTGTTTTTGTCAGGTTTTTCAAAGATCAGATGGTTGTAGATGTGATGTGTTGCCTCTGAGGCCTCTGTTCTGTTCCATTGGTCTGTATCTCTGTTTTGGTACCAGTACCATGCTGTTTTGATTACTGTAGCCTTGTAGTATAGTTTGAAGTCGGGTAGTGTGATGCCTCCTGCTGTGTTCTTTTTGCTTATAATTGACTTGGCTATGTGGGCTATCTTTTGGTTCCATATAAAGTTTAAGGTGGTTTTTTCCAGTTCTGTGAAGAAGGTCAAATCTCCTGAAACTGATAATCAACTTCAGCAAAGTCTCAGAATACATAATCGATGTGCAGAAATCACAAACATTCCTATACACCAATAACAGAGTTAAGTAGAGCCAAATCAAGAATGAACTACCATTCGCAATTGCTACAAAGAGAATAAAATTCCTAGGAATACAACTAACAAGGAATGTAAAGGACCTCTGCAAGGAGAACTACAAACCACTGGTCAACAAAATAAGAGAGGACAGAAACAGATGGAGAAACATTCCATGATCAAGGTTAGGAAGAATCAGTATCATGAAAATGGCCATACTGCCGAAAGTAATATATAGATTCAACGCTATCCCCATCAAGCTACCAATTTGTTTTCAATTTATGTATCCATTGTCAATATTTAATGTTTCACTCTGCCCTGTTTATTAGATTCATCTACATATATGTCTAATCTGTTCCTCTCTTGTCAAATATATTTTTATATTTTGTAAATTTTAGAAAGATATTTGGATTTTTAATGTTTATACCCACCTTCTGTTCTATATATTGTTTACACCTTAATATTACATTTTCTTTTGAGTGACCATAAATAGTATCATGTGTTTAATTTTGATTTCCACATGTTCAATGTTAGTATATAGAAGTGTGATTGATTTTTTTATTTTAAAGAAATTTTATTTTGTATATTTGAGGTTTACCACATGTTATTATGGGATACATATATAATGTAAAATGGTTACAATGTGAAAATGATTAGCATATCTCTCTTCTTACTTTTTTAAGTGTATGACAATAGCAGCCAAAATCTTATTTAACATAAATTCATGATATAATTTCATTGGCTTTAGTCCCCCTGTACATTAGATCTCTATACTTGTTCATCCTACATGTCTGTTATTTTGTATCTTTTGACTTACATCTCCCCATTTCTTCTCCCACCCACAACGTTTCCTTCTCTACCTCTGTCTATTGGCCCTCTTATTTATATTGTCCACATGAGCTCATAGAATCTGTGTCTTTCTGTCTGGATTATTTAACTTAGTGTAATGTCTTTTAGGTCCATCCATGTTCTGGCAAATGCCAAGATCTTTGTTTGTTTGTTTGTTTAAGTAGACGGAGGATGTTGAAGGGCAGATAGATGGTAGCCAGAAGAAGGGAGAATGAATCTTTCTTCTGGGCCTTTTCTAACATTGTCTTCAGGACCTAGGCATATTCTAATATCCACAATTTCTCTGCCAAAGTCTGCTGTCACTACAGGTATCCATCTTGGAAAAAGCCTAATATAATATGGACATGGCCCTTGATGTCTACGGGAAAATCTCACAGATCCTCACACTGAATCAGGGAACATGAGAAGCCCTACTAAATGGCCATGTCCATATTATGTTAGGCTCTTTTCCTTCAGTTCACCAATCATTGGTCAATATTTCTCTGTTCTGGATAGAACTTCCATAATTCCCAAGTATACTCTTGCATTTATGTTCATTTATGTGCATGTGGATGTCCAGTTGTCCAAGCACCATTTGATGAAAGTTGAATTATCTTGACATTCTTTCCTATGTTCATTTGACCACAGCTTTATCAGTTTATTCCTGTTCTCTAAATTTTATTCTATCAATTAATACATTTAAAAGTATCTAAGCACCATGCTGTCTTGAATGCTATCACTTTGTGGTAAGTTTTGAAATAGAAAAGGGAGAGTCATTCTTTTCATTTATTGATTTGCTGTTCTAGGTCCTTTAAATTTACATGAGTTACATAAGATAAGCTCGTCAATTTCTGCAAAAAATGCAGGTGGGATCTTGATTGGGGGTACATTAAATCTGTACCTAAATTTGGGAAATATTGAACACAGACTTTATCTCTAAGATCTATCAATGCCAGGATGCTCCATAGTTCAGTCCTTGGACATACTCTTTTATGCTTCTGTACTTTTATTGCTTTAAATGACGTCTATATGCCTATGACAAACAAAACTATATCTTCACCCTATATCTCTCCCTGAGGCTCAAACTGACTAGTTTATGCATTCATTTGGGTACTTAATAAACATTCCAAAATTAATATGGTCAATGATAATTTTAGAAGAAACAATAACATTGTGCTTATCACATGCCAGGTACTCTTTTTAAGACCATATCTAACCTGATGAGGCAATTATCATTTTTCCCCTTCAAAAGAACCTAGGTAAACACTAGATACGTAAATGACTAAGTTCCCTTAGAAAGTGTCAGAATCCAAGATTTGAAGCCACTCATGCTGATTCCAGAATCTGCACACTTCACAATACCTCATATTATTCCTTCTAATTAGATCATATGCTTTCTCTGTCTGCATACTTATCTTCTCCTTTTTCTAGGAAGATAAATTTCTTGGGAAGAATTCTTCCCTGAGCCATATCTATAATAACATAAACCATATATAAAAAAGAACATAATAATGAATTCCTGCAGTTTCTC